CCACTTCCTCCTGCATTTGGCATGGCTAGTTCTTCCCCCTTGGAGTCCTTCTTGCATGTGCGTAAGACCACATGTTGCTGTTTGTGTTTGTCATCCTCTCTGGGCCTGCTTCAGTCCTGTGAGACTGAAAAGCTGAAGTTGTTCAAGTTGAAATCTAAACCTTTTCCCCATCGTCACTATGAGGTCTGTCTGTCTGTCTGTCTTTCTTTCTTTGTTTCTTTCTTCCTTTATTCTTTCCTTCCTTCCTTCTTTCCTTCCTTCCTTCCTTCCTTTCTTCCCATGTCTGTTTTAGCATTTTAAAGCTTTTACCCACATGATGTTTATTTCTGGTTTTATCCATTCTACTGGGTGTCAGCCTGTTCCTGTTATTGTGTTGAAATACCCTGACAGAGCCAACTTAGGAGAGAAGTAGCTTAAGGGCCATCATAGCAGTGTGGCAGCAGCAGAAACGTGATATGGCTGGTGATGCTGTATCCATGATCCAGGACAGACAACAAAAAACCCCATCTTCATCCTTAGACAGTTCAGGAACCCCTGTGTAGGGAATGATGATGCCCACAGTGGGCTGGATCTTCCCAGATCAGTTAAAACAGCCAAGGCAATTACTGAACAGACATTCCTACAGGGAACTTGATCTAGACAGCGTCTCACTGGGAATCTTTTCTGGGTGATTCTAGGTGGTGTCAAGGGAACATTCAAAACCAGTCACACTTCAGCATGACCTTCTGCAGTGTTTCTTATGGTATTGTGAGTGAACATGTCTTCAGCCTTTCCTCACTCCTGGGAACCCTCCTCCAGGCTCTTCACATTACTAAGCTACAGCTCACTCACCCAGTGGCTTATGGCAAAAGAGGGCAAAATCCAACCCACAATAATTCTCATCATCTCACCCTTCTCCTGTCACCAGCCTAGTCAATCAACCGTCAAGTCCAGGTGACCCTCCCTATAAAATACAACTCACTTCATCTTACCCAGCCAATATCTGGGCCAGCTGCCTTTCTTTTGCTTTGCTTTGATATCCCTTGAGTCAACTCTACTGTTGCTGCCAACTTCTTTCATCACCAGCCGTCTTAGGCTAGAGAGAACTTCTCAATGGTTTCTCAGTACCGAGCAATCAACACCCACATCTGTGCCTCCTCTCCTGCTCTCCTTTATTTCAAGAAAGGCATGACATTAATATCTGCAGATTCTTTGGTATGGCTATCCCATCAAGTCTCTCTCCACCTCAACTAATAAGCTGCGTGCGAGTGGGAACTGGGCTGTTTATTTTCACACGTTATATATTCTGCTGGGGCATGAGCCTCTAAATGAATGCAGGCCAGCCCTCCCCGTCCATACCTCCACAGAGAGAGGTGGTGCAGGCCCAGACCCTCCAGGAAGCAACCTGCAAGAGTATGAGCTAGAGAGAACATTTCATGGGGTTGGATTAAATCACCCTTTAATTCCAAATCCAAGATCTTTTCTGAGTAGCTTTGGGGGTGCATGCTCCAGAGAGGGGGTGAGAGCCATCAGGGGCGCATGCTCCAGAGCAGAGCTAGAAGCAGTCCTCCACATGGCACTGGACAGCTTTTATGCAGACTTGGGTTTGAATTGTGTCTCTGTCATCAAACAGCTTTTGCCTTTTTGGCTAGTCGTGAGTTCACCTGTCCCTCACTTTCCTCATACATGGACCCAGAGCCAATATTACATAACACAATGACATTTTCATTAAATAAGAGCAATGAACCCCCTCCCCCATAATAGCACCTGAACTGTGGGCCATGATGTCTAAGTCTCAGAGTTCTTGCCTTTGCCTACAACTATGGTTCTTGAAATTTCTTTCCCCTGCTTCATCTCTTCCCCATCTTATCACATGAAGAGAAGAAATACCAGCACTTACAGTATGCACTTCCTTATGTATGAGAAGCACAGATTTGACAGCCTTGCTTTGTGGGGCTTTGTGGAGCATTTTGCTGGCACACTGCTGTGTAGCAAGTTTGCTTTGGGATAACACGCTGGGATGGAGAAAGGGAAGACGGGATTTGAGGGGAGAAAATTAAAAAGTTAATTAAAAGAAACAACTTGGTAATTAAATTCCCAAACACACTTATTTGGAGGTTGGGCTGGGAGTGGATTATAGCACACAAATGGTGGGTTTGCCTCAGTGGCAGGCCTGGAAACCCTGACTGAGACAAGCTTCAAAATATAAGACAGACGCCTGTCTTCATGGGTGAGAAGATGTATTGATACATCCATAGACTTTTCAGTAGTACAGAACGTGCATATTTATCATACACATACATATTTACATGCATGTATGTATATGTTTGTATGTCACATGTATAACACATTATGTACTATGTACTATGTATATCTTATATAATATTTATTATGTGTATATGGATGTGTGTTAATGTCTTTTTCTGTTGATGTGTTAAAATTCCTTGACCATAAACAAGTATGGTTTTTCCGCCCGCTGCCTGGTCTTGTCCCACCGCCGCGCCAGTCCCAAATAACACACACCGAGACTCTGTATTTGATATAATCTGTTGGCCCATTACTAGTTTCTTATCGGCTAGCTCTGTCTTAATTATTAACCCATTTCTACGTATTTCCACGTGGTCTTACCGAGAGCAGAGGAATTGGTTCTGTTCTCTCCAGACTCCCCATGTTCTGTCTCCTTCCTCCTTCCTATTTCCTCCTTGCTCTAGTATTGTTAATTTCCTTCTCAGGTCTTGATGAGGTTGAAGATTAAACTATCACAACTATCATTCTCTCTTCCTAGTTAGATATATTAGGTACTAGACTTACATTTTCCAGCTTTGGGCAACTTTATTGTAAACTCCATTATGCCTTCACCCTAGGACTAGATATGTAGGTCATTTTGTTCTCGATTTTCCTTTTCTTAGAGCACACTTGTTATTCACTGTTTTGTATATAATTTTGTATTAAGCCTAAATCTTTTCTTTAGACTAAAATGGGAATTGTAGTGAGGTAGTCCTTCTGTGGCACTGACCACGCCCATTGGGGGGTGGAGCGATGGGCAGAAGTGACCTGTGGAAGGAGGTCAGAGAGAGAGCCTGGAAAAGCTCTCTTGCTGGCATGACTCAGACAGGAGAGCATCGGGTGGAATTCCCTGGTGTTCATCTGTCTAGGTTGTAAGTTATTTCTCCCTGAATAAACATCTATTCGGCCTATTTGTTTATCCTGATCCTTATTTAACCGCAATAAACATCCATAACAACAAAAATCCAACAACAACTGACAGGAGAAAGTGTTTATTTTGGTCTATAGTGCCACAGCAATAGATTCTATCACGGATGAGACATGGCAGCAGGCATGGAAGGTATGGGGAGCAAGAAGCTGACTGATCACATGTCATCTTCATACAAGAAGCTGAGACTGAAGAGCAAGTAGGGAGGGCCAGTCTACAAAATCCCAAACTCCTTCTGGTGATGTAGTTCCTCCAGTAAGGCTCTACCTCCTAAAGTTTCTGCAACTGTCTCAAACAGCGCCACCTGCTGGTGGTCATGTTCAAATACATGAGCCTGTGGGGGACATTCACATTCAACCCACAATATATGTACATGCCTACAGTTGCTGTGTTTTGTCTTGTTTTTTGTTTTGTTTTTTGAGACAATTACAATGTTTTTTTCAATTACGTCAGGCTAGCTCTGCACTCAGGAGATAGCCAAAACTGACACTGAACTCCTGATTATTGGTCCTCTATCTCAGTAACACTAGAATCACGGATGTGCACCAACACACCCCACTGAGTATTTATGTTCTAAAATATTCTTGACAGCTGACTTGGCTGTTGTGTGAATTTCTGGACTAGTGATGGTATGAAAACGTTGTTCACCATTGTCCTGTCTCATGAATTGAGCACGTTGTTTGCTTGTGTGTTTCTGTGAACTTTTATATGTGTTCACATAACCACACAACCAGAACAGTATATTCATAACTCCCCCAAATAAGCAAGTTGGCCATTTAGTATTTGTGTTTAGAGGTTTGAAATTATTCTTTTTCAAAATATTAAAAATCAATGATTTGAGCATCTATGGAGAGAAACAAGATCCTCTAATTTAGAATCATGGGCTGAGTGGTTGTGGAGAAGCAGGTTCAAACCCCTACTCTGACCCACAAACTTTGTATTTTTGTGCATCCAAGATATGTCTATTGGCTGCCTGCTGCCCAACAAGCACTATTGCAGCCTCCAACAGTAACTTTGGTGGTTTGGTTTCTTTACATGTTGCTGTGATGATTTACCTGGGGATAAGCATGAAAGGGTTCATTCTGGCTTACAGTTGCAGGACAGTCCTATGATATGATAGCTGTGGGGAATAACAATGGGGGGGGGCGAGTTTGAAGCAGCAGGTCACATTACATCCAGAGTCAAGAGCCAGAAAGAAAGAATTCTTCAAGTGCTTGTCTGAGTTTACGGGGTCCAGGCTCCCCTACCAGGGGATGTGCTAACCCACAACTCAGAGGGGCTTTTCCATACTACTGTCCTAAAGAAGGTACCCCCCACAGAGCTGCCCAGAGGTCTGTCCCTCGGCTGGTTCTGCTTCCATCCAGTTCACAGTTAATGCTGACCATCACACTCACCAGTTCTGGCTTTCATGAGCCTCTGTTTTTAGAGGTCTGGGAAATGGATTTCAGCCTCAGACACTTAAGGCTTTCCAGGGATTTATTTTACTCCCTCTTGCAGCAAATGTGGAGCAGAAAGAGCCCAGTGAATCGGGGCTTTGCCTTCACTGCCAAGTTAGTGTTAAGTGGGCTTCCCCTTGCACACCGTTCTACAAAGTACTCTGGAAAATGAATTAACCTCCTCATATCTAGAGTTACTAAGATATCCTGTTTTAAGCATCCAACAGCACAAATAGGAGAGCTTTTGGGTCCAGCCAGCGTTTTATTGGAAGAAATGAATTCATAGTTGACAGTAAGCTTGTTTTCATCGGTATGACAGAGGTGTGTCTGCCTGCCTGTGATAACTAATGCCAGATTTTGTATTTTCTCAGGTTATGGTTTTGTAGACTTTGATAGTCCTGCAGCCGCACAGAAAGCAGTGGCGTCCTTGAAGGCAAATGGTGTGCAAGCACAGATGGCCAAGGTAAGCCTGCTCAGACCGGAGGGTCTGTGCATGTGTGCACCTTTGGGTGCGTATCTGTGTGTGTGTGCATGTGAACAGATATCAGTCCTTTACAGTGATCAGAGCCCAGATTATGGTTTACACCCTTTCTGTACTCAGTTGTTAGGGAAATGAACCGTGCAATTGACTTGGCTTGTTATCTCTCTGACTTCGTGTGGAGTTCTTCATGAGTTCACCGGTTCTGGAGATCCCAGTGATTAAAGGATACATGTGGATGGCTCTGTTGTGACCGAAAAAAGGAGAAATACATGCGTGAGAGTCTAGAACTTTCCCTGGTTGGCAGTGCTGGAGTCCTTATACATGCATGTGTGTACTGGTGTCTAGAACTGTCCCTAGTCAGAAGAGCTCTGGGGCAGTACAGAAAGTTATCAATGATTTCATGTGTGCTAAATTTCACTTATTTGTTCCATGTTTGGGAGGCTTCTAAGCTGATGGCTTTTCCCCTAATCTGAGCAGGGAAATGGCTTTTTGCTAGTGTGCTTTTTTGTATCATTTGAGTTTCACTTTGACCAATATTCCCAGAATTTACCTGGAAAGCAATTTCCTTGATGATCATCATTTACAATATTTACCTGTTGTTACATAGTAAGCATTGTCTGGGACCTTGAATGTGAAGCTATGGTGAACTTTTACATCAATGTGAAAATGGTCCATCGTCATTTTGTGCCTTGATTTCTGTAGTGTTATAAGAATCTGCCTATGTGGTCAGATAATATGGATCTCAGGAACAATGGACCCTGATGTCATGGTCTTCATCTTAATTGGGGACTCTAATAAGAAACCATCATAATGATATAAGCTAGGTGTGGTAGTGCATGGCTTTAATCCCAGCATTCTGGAAGTGGTGGCAGGGTTCAAGGTCAGCCAGGAATACCAACAACTAAAAAAGAAGAAAGAGAAAAAGTAAGAGTAAACACCAAAATGCTGGTGATGACATTTGGATGATTGGTAAATATTGATGCACAAATAGCAACCGTTTCAGTCAACATAAACAATCTAAGTTTAAAATATTCTTCCTGTTAATAGTTCTGAACTTACTATCCTAAGATCTTCACACCTTTAGATGCCACAAGTAACAGACCTTGAAATGTTGGGCATCTGCCCCAGGCTTGTGTTTCTAGTTTCCAGGCCCTGTTCCCATAGAAGTAAGTCATGTGATGATGAAGTCATCCGATGCACTAGCTGTTGTTATGATTGTGTACATCCTCTGATAGAACCTTGGAGTATCAGCCTCTGATTGCTAGAGAATCAGCCTTTGTGTCCTAGAGGCTATGAATTCCTTCTGACCAATGTGTGTAGATCACATCTGCTGTCTCTTGCCAGCTAGTTTCCTCTTAGGTGACTGTGGTGGGCTTGGGCTTATTGTCTTTCTCATTTTTCAAGGAAATATAAATTACAATTCTCCCATCTGGGTATTATGTTCATTATCAGGACTAAGCCTGGAAGCTTTAGATGTGGTCAGGAATTGAGATTGATGAAGTTTCTACTTTTAATTAATCAGGAAATTACATGCATGTCCTGGTTTAAAGGTTATTTGGCAAGAGCCAATGCAATAGAACTAGCAATTTCCTGTACCCAAAAAAATAAGTGATAGAGTGTGGCTGTTGGCTGAGGCAAGAAACGATTATGCAAATGCTTGGGAAAGAGGATGGGGGTCACTGAAGGGATGGCCCAGTGGTTAAGAGTGCTTACTCTTCTTACAGAGGGCCCTGATCTAGTTCCCAGAAACCAAGCTAGGCAGTACACTGTCTCGTGTAACTCCAGCTTTAGGGATCCAGTCCTCACTTCTGGCCCATAGAGAAACTACATCAAGTGTACACATGCACACGGGAGTATACACATATAAATTTTAAAAGGAAAATATAAACAACCCCTGAAACCTAAAGCACATTGTGGATAAATGGTTCCATGGTTTAAAGTACTTGTAGCTCCTATAGAGGACCTGAGTTTGGTTCGTTTGGTTCCCAGCACCCACATTAGTCCTGTAACTTCAGCTCCAAGGGATCTAGTGCCTTCTTCTGGTAAATAAGAGCACAAAGTTAAAATGCGTGGCTGCGTCCGTGCACGCGCACGCACACACACACAGAAGCACACACACACAGAAGCACACACACACAGAGTTTAAAAATAAGGCAAATCTACTTTTTAAAAAAAGAAACAAAGAAAATGAGGAACTGAGAAATATCTGGGGAGGTAAAGGCTGCTGTGAAATTGAAGACCTTAGTTAGATCCCCAGGCTCTATGTGGTCGAAGGAGAGAATAGACTTGCCAGAATCCCCTGACCTCCATATGTGTGTGCATCGTGTACATGCGTGTTGCACCCATATGTAAATAAATAAGTAAAACAGTACAGTTTTAAAAGAAAGTGGTTTTTGCAACATATTTGATACAGTCTATTCATAAACTTTGGAAATTATTGTATAGTAGGGGTTTATAAATAGTGAATACAGTTGCTTCTAAATTCTCAAGAGATATAAAGATACAAACAGATGATAGATAGATTGTCAATAAAGGATAGATGAGAGAGATAATAGAAAGATAAGGAGATAGATGATATGCTGAGTTAAGCTTTTATATAAAAAAAGCAAGAAAAGTTGACATTGACTTTAATATTTGTAGCATGCTTGTATATGAGGAATCCCTCTTCATGCCTGTCTAGCTCTCTCATGCACATACATGCCCCCCTACACGCATGCGCGTGCGCACACACACACACACACACACACACGCACGCACGCACGTACACACACACGCACACACCAATCACAGACCTATCACCCAGTAAGGAAACTGTTTACACTAGCATTCATTTAAAGACCTCTAAAAAGGATTTTAAACTTTAGCCACCATTTTGGCCCTTGCCCCATATCTAAGGTGCAAACCCTGGAGTTGCCAGACTGGGCTGCGGGGGATCACCCTGCTGCAGACTTTCTGAAGGATTTTACAGTTTCACCTGTGCTGTCTGTGGAGTAAATCCTCGTGAAGTTTGAGCCCAAAGCCTGCTTTAGATTCCCATCTGCCCACTGGAAAACTTGCAGCAATAAATGACTCTGTAATTTAACTACCCCGAAGAAAATAAATAGCCTCCGCTTGACAATGAAATGGAACAAGCTTGGCCACCTGTATTAGCAGATTTCTCACTGAGCTATTGGATTTCACGGCACTTTTTCCTTTGTCCTGGCGATAACTGTTATTTATTATCATATAAACCTGCACTCTGCAGGGTGTGTGTTGCTTGCAGTATATATTTTACCATTTAAGTATGCACCAAATCGCCTCCTGCACCCTTGTTCTTATCGCTAACCCACTCTGTTGGTTGTGGTGTGACATTTTAAAATCCCCAGGATTTTAAACTAAAAATGCCTCCTGGGGTTGGAGAGATGGCTCATCCATCAAGAGTGCATACTGATATGCAGGGGACCTGAGTTCAATTCTCAATCCCTTCTTGCAGTTGCTCTGACACAAATTCCAGGTGATCTGATGGCCTATTTTGGACACCACTGATAACCTGGATTCACATTCACATTTCCCACACAGACACACACACAGACAAACAGATGGGTAGATGGACACAAACACTTATATAAATAATAATAAGCATTAAAAAATAAGAAGGTCACCTGTCATTAAGTTCCCCATAGCAACCTGACACCCATTTCAAACAGTGGGAGTTGCTCCCCTTAACAAATGTGTTCCAGTGTGTGTCTGTGAAAATGCCAACGGATGCTTCAACTACAAAGAACTGAACAGCGGATCAGTCAGGAGATCGGTGTGCTGGTCACTGTTCTGTTGCTGTGATAAAATACCATGCACAAAAGAAACTTTCCCAAAAGTTCTAGAGGAGTTGGTGTATTGTTGTGGGAAAGGAATGGCAAGGAGAGGCAGATATGGTGTCAGGGTGAGGGGGCTAAGATAGTAACTCTTCTATAGCAAACACAAAATAGACACACAAACACACACACACACACACACACACACATGCGTGAGAGAGAGAGGGAGGGAGGGAGAGAGAGAGAGGACTGAAAGTAACCAGAGGCTAAGAACTCTCAAACCACACCATACATAGTGGGTTACTTCCTCCAGGAAGGTTGTACCATGTCCCCAAACAGCACCACCCCCTCCCTAAACAGAGCCACCAACTGCAGACCAAGTGTTTAGATACTGAACCTGGAGGGAACATTTTTCTTTCAGACCATGACAATCTATAATAAAGCTAAGGAAACATCCCCACAAATTAGCATTCTCTTTCACAAGCAAAATTTGTGATCCATTGGTGAAAGCACATTGAAAGAATTTTACTAGGGCATGCTGGTGAAGAGTGTAGATTTGAAAGATACGTTTGGCTTTGATTTCTGGTTATGGTACCACCTTCTTTTGTGAACTTTCTGTGTTACTGAAATATCTCTAATTCTCGAGTAATAATATGGTGCTTAGGCTGTAGGGTTACTGTGAGACTTTCAAAAACCCACAAAGAATTTGGCATGTTGCTTTCACAGTAAGAATCCATTACCTGTGCATGGAGTAGTTAATGTTGTTCATTGGGTTCCAATGTCCCGGGAAACCTGGGAACCCTTACATATTCCGAGGTCTTCCATTATCACAAAATAACAGTTTGCCAAATGTGCTCAAAAGGTTTCATCCAGGGAATCAAGAATTTTTTTTTCCTGAGTTTTGCTGAGACACAGGAAGCCTGCAAATGGCTGATAATGTCCAGTAAAGTAACAGCTCCAACATATGGTGAATACTCCAATCCAAGCCAAATGGTGTTTAGCTGCCAGGCTATGGCTCTCATAGGCACTGTTAGCACAGTACAATGGTGAGACTTTGTTAATGAGACTCAGTGCTAGGCTTCTCTTGTTGAAGGACTTAACTCCATACAGATCATAATAGACCAGAAAAAGCGAGCTCTTAAAGGCACCCAAGTTCTATACTGCCAAAAGGTATTTCACAATATTATGTTA